GTTATTCATAACACACACACTATTTGCTGGTGAAAAGTCTCATGAAATTTCAATGAATGGTGAAAGTCGTGTCGTGTATGTTGGCTCTACAGTACCACTATTTAGCCGATCACTGCCCATTCCACTCTTTGTACTATGACAAAATGCACACAGAGGTTGAGGTGAAAATGTGCTACATGTTGCCCTCCAAACACTGACAACCTGTACACAGTCTCCAGTAAGAGAAGGGGCTGCATTATGAGGCTGACCTGCTGGACAGGTGTGCTGTAGCTGGCACAGTCTGTCCAGGGAGAGCTGATGGTTTTCCCGTCAGACCTGGCAGCTGAGCGTGGAGCAGTCTCATTGAGAACGGCACCATGCTACCTGAGGGTGTGGGAGACACAAAGACAAGAGTGATGGAGGAGGAGGAATTCGGGAACGAGACACGTGTAAGCTACACACACTTGCTCACTAACTAGTAGTAGTGGGTAGGAAGGATGTATTACGAACTGAAAAAATACTCGTGTGGCAGCCATAGCACTTTGGCCACCCAGAGCAATGGGCAGAACCTATGGCAGAGGAACCTGGAGTTTTACTCGGTAAAGAATTTGGTTCACAAAGCACACAAGCAACTACATGAAGCAGTACACAGAAGATGACAGCTACTGCAGCTCAGTGCGTTGAACTGACCGGTCTTGTCGGGGTAGTTGTGGGTGTGGTACTGGTAGAAGAGGTCAGGGTTCACCAGTTCGCCGAATGCCTCCATCTCGACCTCGGCCTCCCTAAACTGCTGCATCACCACCAGGAGAGCCAATCTCGCTCCCCACATCTGCACAGTACAACACACAGTCTCACTATGACAGTTGTACCACTAGAGTTCACCTATACTCACACATCATATTCACTAAATGGTGAAGAAAGTGAGTAAATCATTTCAGTATGGACAGAAAAAAGGTGCAATTCAGACAATTGGGCAGGCAAAACTCTCATCATAATATGCAGAGAAAAGTGTGAGAGGTGCACTTTCTTTAGCTGCAGGTCAATTGATCCAAGTCTTTGCACTACGAAACCTGACCCACTCCAGCGGCACATCATGTTAAAAAAGACAAAGACTACTGAATTACAGATGCTTGTCGAAAACGAGGTCATGAAGCAAAGCAAGGGCAGGGGTACATGTAATGTAAAAACAGCAGAAAACACTTCTTTCAAAGGGAAAACTTTTGACCTACATGTGAACGCATGAAGTATGTACAACTCACACACACTGCAAAAGTTGGTGTTTGAAAGTGTAGGTCTAGTTTCATTCCTGCTTAATGCATTCACAAGAATTCAACACTCTCGATCTTCTGACCGTTCTGTAGATTTTGTTATAAACTGAGATGTACACAACTGACCACGAGCCTGCGGAGGCCGGCCATGTCCATGGCAACACTCTCCATTGACGGCAGAGTCTTGCGGGACTCTGCGGGAAAATGGGCTGCCAGCAACTCTGCTATTGGATCATGCTGAGGGGAGGGAGAGAGAGCAGAGGTAAACACAAGTTACACGTAACTCATGTGTACTGCATCAAGAACACACAGCATGCAGTTCATTGTAACAATTGCACATATAGCTACTTGATGCATTCGGAGATGAAGACAACAGGGCAACAGGCAATGAAAGGAGTTACATAGAAGAGAGTTTGAACCACACTTTCCCTTAAACTAAAAACGATAAGTTCTGACCATATTGATGTCTGCCACCAGCCCGGGGCAGGTGAGGTGAGACTGGTCCACTGGTGTCTGACGAGACAGGAGCCCCAGAGTCCAGGGACTCGGGACCCAGGCCGTGTACAGAGCCTCCTTCACTCCTGCCACCTCCTCCGGGTAGGGCGATGGGACAGGGGGGAGAACCCTGGGCTCCGGACCAATATCGCCCACTCCTTCTCCGCCTAGAGTTTGGGACTCTTCTTCCCCATCTCTGTGAAGGTGTGAGGATGTGAATTGGGGAGGAGGGGGAGGAGGGAGAGGGAGGGAGAGGGAGGGAGATGAGGGGGTCGGAGAAATTAGAAAGAGAAATACGACAGAATATGATATAGGTGAGATGAGATAAAAGAAATAAAGACGACAACACACATACAATGAAGAAAAAGAAGAGAGGGTTAATAAGTCAGGTAAGAAGTCAAGGAGGGACAATTGTGTATAAGGAGTGGCATAAGGAGTACAGTGGAACCTCTGATAAGGGACCCTCCGAGATAAGAACGACCTCTCCTACAAGGGACACTTTTTCATCTCCATGCTTGTACTTCAGTGGTCACCAGCAACATGTACAGTCTCTCCAGAGGCTGGTAGACGTAGCGGACACTCTCCGTCTCCACAAACGTGTGCTGCTTCCCCGAGCCTATCAGCTTGGGGAAGGCTCCCAGGAGCCCCTCCACTCTCGCCCTCGTCATCTCCACAAACTGACGCGACAGGAGAGCTGGGAAACCAGGAGAAGTATGTGTGTGAATACCCCAGCCAAGAATTTAGCTAGAAACTTACTGTGAACATGCAAATAATACTGTACCGAAGTAGTCAATTATACAGAGATACTGATGTTTACCTTTGCCCTGCTTCGTGCACACGGCCGCCGCTAGTAAGACCTAGCAAAGAAACGAAGGTGGGCTTCAATTGGAATACAACACATAGACCAGCACGCTACCGTACTGAGATTCGCTGGGTTAGAATACGATCGATTTTCACTCACCATGTCTATCACAAATATAATTTAAGACTGATATCTTTAATACTTGTCCTTCTTCAAGAGAAAACTGGAGAACATCAGCTGTACTCGACTCGGCACCTTCATTCATTATGCGCATGCGCAGTTTGGGGAGGCGTTTTTGTGCTGTGTCAGCTTGTAAACAAACGGGCCAGAGACAGAGCTGTGGGATGGAAAAGGCAGAGGGCGACGGTTCTCCCGCACATCCAGGCGTGGGACGACGTGCTGCAGCGCTGTCTCTGACTCTGCTACTCATACAGGCCTGTGCGTCTGGTGACGTGGCCGCTGTCGTTGACCTGGTCTCGGGGAAGAATGCCGATCCCTTTGCCAGTGACGAGTCTGGTCGCACGCCGCTCGGAGTCGCCTCCGAGGCCGGCCACATCGAGGTGATCAGGTTTCTGATGGAAAGAGACAAGGAAGGGCTAGCTGTTAGTGGAGCAGGCGGGACCACTCCACTCCACGACAAGGAAGGACTGTCAGGTATGGTTAGGTAAAATCGAAAGATGTGTATAGTTTTGCTGGGATTTATGGGATTTGTGGTGCGCATGCGCAACGAGGGGTTGCACTGAGTGTCTGTGAGTCTGTGTGTTTGTTACCACATATCTGCCACTAGGCGCAACGAAACCTCCAAAAAGCAATGCCAACAGGTTCGGCGCTACATTGGCTTGGTTTTAAAACTAGCGAAAATACTGTGTTCAAAAGTTATGGCATGATAACCAAGTGAACAAGCCAATATGCAAATACACGTGGCTAACCTCGACTTAGATTCCGCCGGCGTTGTGCACTGTGAAGCCATCAAAAGTTACGACAGAGGGCGAGAATCAAGTCCCGTCATAAATAGCTGTCTACCTACATAGCCTTGTCACGTGACCCAGCGGTGTACTGACCCACGCATGCATATGGGTGTTGCAATGACACGCGCACGTTTCTAGTGTGCCGAGGGTTTGCACTTTAGTGCTTTTTTTCTTGTTATGGTCACTCTAATACACATGGGTATGTTTTAGAGATGTTCATCTGGAAAAATTCCAACTTGTTGACATCTGCCTGTCAAAGTGAAAGCACTACGGCATTGGCAAGAACCTAGCATAATTTTGTAATGACATTAAGTTGGGAAAGCAGGCATCTTTGTACTCCTGGAGGTTTATGGAAAAGCTGGGGCACAAAGATGGAGGCCAGGTCAATAGTGTATACGTAGCTACTCCTTGACGCTGTATATGTGGTGTACGTATGGGCAGCAGCCAGCCACACAGACTGTCGCAAAGTTGCAAACCAACAGCGAAATGCAGGTTTGCTCCCACAGTGTATAGACCAGTCTGCTTCTGCTTACTTAGTACAGAAGGCACTGACGACTGAGAGTTGCGCAAGTCTGTCAACCCCAGCCTGGGCAACGGGTGCATGGCACTGCACACATCAGGACAATGCCCCCCCACACTGAGCTACAACGTAGGAGCCATGCGGCAGACCTAGAAAGTACAGGGAAGTGGACCTGGGTACATGTGTAGAAAGTGCTTTTATGCCTAAGAAGGGCCAAAGCTGCTATAGAAGCAAATGTAGCCAAGGCGTTTGATGCGATAGCTCCAATGAATTTAACTATAACAACAGCACCATTTAGTCCACAACGTCCATCTCCAAGCCCTGCTGTAGCGCATGCTGCTCACTGCTGAGTTAGCAACAAATGGCATCATTCATTGTCTACCATGGAAGAGCTCCACGATCTATCAAGGTGACTTGCGACAAGTAAGAAACAATCACTTGGTGGCCGTGCACACTTATGTCAATTCAGGAGATGTCACTTCTAATGGTACCCAAGGCTCTAGCCCAAGCCCTTCCGGTAAGGTGATACTTCAGAAGTTTATGATGATGATAACACGAAAAATCGTGAAATTGCGTATGACCGAACTCTAGCGTGGAGAACTGAGGGCACGTATAAATGCTAGATATGGACACATACTCTATGGCTAGTGCATAGCGAGTCATTCTCGCCGAGATTTGAGGCTTTTGTACGCAGATCACGTGAGATTTAACCTGTACCATCCCTAACATAGAGTGTCTACACCTGGAAACCCCCACTAATCATTCTGAGATATTTACTATTATGGTAGTGCATCAGAATGATTCATACATGGCTGCTGCACATAATTGGCGAAACGAAGCGAGCCCTCCTAGTCGCCTGTATGTGGAATTTATACATGTAACAAATCACACTGACACACGGTCTAGTGCGCCGAGGGTTTGCACTTTAGTGCTTCTAATACTAGTATATACGTAATTGTTATGCTATGTACACATTCAAGGTTCATCTGCTCTACTACAAGCCAGTAGAAATGGTGATCTTAGTCAAGTGAAGTACCTGGTTGAGGAAAGACATGTTGATCCACATTCTTGTGAAGATGAAGCGAAACAATCTCCCCTTCACTTTGCTTCTGCACTTGGTCATTTAGACATTGTAAGGTATTTAGTGGAAGAAAGAAACTGCCACACAGAGTGTAGGACTAAGTATGGGAGCACTCCTCTTCATCTTGCTGCAGTGGGAGGTAGGTTAGATACAGTGAAGTACCTGATCAATGAAAGAGGATGTGACCCAATGTGTAGAGGTGAGAATGGTTGGACTCCTCTTCACTATGCATGTCAGGGTGGCAGACTGGACATGGTGAAATATTTGATAGAAGAGAAGAACGTCGATTCCTTGTGTCAAGATGGGAATGGTATTACTCCACTTCATGTAGCAGCTTGCATGCACCACTGGAGGTGGTGAAATACCTTATTGAAGAACGACGTTGTGATGATAGTGTTAGAAATAAGTTAGGAAGCCTTCCAATTCATTATGCTGCACTGGGAGGTAGGTTAGATACAGTGAAGTACCTGATCAATGAAAGAGGATGTGACCCAATGTGTAGAGGTGAGAATGGTTGGACTCCTCTTCACTATGCATGTCAGGGTGGCAGACTGGACATGGTGAAATATTTGATAGAAGAGAAGAACATTGACTCCTCATGTCAGAGTGGGAAAGTGGCACTCCACTTCATGTAGCAGCTCAGCATGCACCACTGGAGGTTGTGAAATACCTCATTGAAGAACGACGTTGTGATGATAGTGTTAGAAGTACGTTAGGAAGCCTTCCAATCCATTTGCTGCACAGGGAGGTAGGTTAGATACAGTGAAGTACCTGATCAATGAAAGAGGCTGTGACCCAATGTGTAGAGGTGAGAATGGTTGGACTCCTCTTCACTATGCATGTGAGGGTGGCAGACTGGACACAGTGAAATATTTGATAGAGGAGAAGAACATCGATTCCTTGTGTCAAGGTGGGAATGGTGTTACTCCACTTCATTTAGCAGCTTTGAATGCACCACCTGAGGTTGTGAAGTACCTTATTGAAGAACGACGTTGTGATCATAGTGTTACAAGTACGTTAGGAAGCCTTCCAATTCATCTTGCTGCACAGGGAGGTAGATTAGATACAGTGAAGTATCTGATCAATGAAAGAGGCTGTGACCCAATATCTAGAGATGAGAATGGTTTGACTCCTCTTCACTATGCATGTGCGGGTGGCAGACTGGACATGGTGAAATATTTGATAGAAGAGAAGAACGTCGACTCCTCGTGTCAGACTAAGGGTGGCACTCTTCCACTCCACATTGCTTCCAGTCATGGTCACCTGCCAGTAGTGAAGTTACTTGTTGAAGATTACCATTGCAATCCTGGCGTCATGGACAAGATTGGGATGACTCCAGGACATTGGGCTCAGAGAAAGGACCATGTCGAGATATCTTCATATTTGTCATCCATGGAGAAGGCCATCCCTAGTAAGTTGGCAGTCAGTTTTGGCGGGGCAAATCTTCTTAATCACATTCCCAGGGTGGCACTTCAGGGAAGCCCTAGTAGTAAAACAATGACACTAATGTCCCTGTCTCATGCATGTGTAGGTATGAAGCATTACAGCACCTTCTTTGTCTATAGGTGAAGATGGTCCCTCCTATATTCCAGAGGACACATCATTACTCAGGGAGTCAGAGGACGCCAGCCATGAAGAAGTTGAAGGTATGTAACATTATGTACGTAGTTATAGCAAAAACTCCTATCGTGAGAACGCCTGACTAAGCCCATCTCATCAGTTCCAATAGTAATTTAAGTTTCTGCATGATAAAATGTTCATGTGTTTGCTGTCTCTAAAATATAAGTTAGAACCGGAAGCGAGATTTGTACGTGACATTTTTGTATATAGCTCAAGGAGTTTGTTTTACAAATGCTAATTGACACTCAATAATTAACCCTCGGCGCGCATGCGCAGCGAGGGTTACAGTACTTGGTTTGTGTGTGTCGACACTTATTCTGACACCACAGGCTACGAGGATACCTATTGGCGATACTAACAGCTTCAGAACTACGCGAACCTGAAAATTAAAAAGGCAATTTTCCTGAAACGACTGTGTTCAAGAGATATGCCGTGATAACAAGCGAAAAAGCCAATATGTATAATCGCACTGGGCTTACATCGACCTGATAGGCTCGCTCTGTGTCCCATTCATTACTTGCTTGTGTTTGCTCACCAAAAATTTGGTTACATGACTCAAGCATGCATTTGATGCGCAATCACTACGTTTCGCCTTTTTGGATCGACGCTGTAGTCACTTATTAGTACATTCAAGCTAACTCACACCTACGTATAGCTACATGGCTCAATCATAAAAACATGGTTTGTTTCGGGTTGTGTAGTCATGATGCAGCGTGTTTTGCTTCATTAACACAGAATCGTTTTCAAAATATCTCGAGGAGGCAATGAAGAAAGGCTATGTGGTAGTGAAGCTGGTGAAGGTGATAGTAGTGGGTCCTGCAGGTGTTGGTAAAACCTGCCTCATCTACCTCCTCCTTGGTAAAGACCCACCAGACAAGAGACACAGCACCGGCTGTGCTGAACGATCAATACGAGTGATACGCATAGGCAAAGAAGGAGAGGAGTGGAGTGAAATATCCACTGAAGAGTTCATGAAGATGATTGCAGAAGCAGTTCCTATTCTCTATAGTGAGCTTACGGCCAAAACAGAACACCCAGAAGAAGAAGATAAGATGGAAGAAGAGGTGAGTGGTGGAGGGATTGAAGTAGCTATGGAGAGTGAACCGGTTGAAGAACATGAACATGAGATAGAGGGAATGGTCGGAGGCAGAGTGAGTTTGACAACTTTGCTCAACATAGTACTGATCAGGGTATGGCTGAAGACGAGTGTGGTAGTAGTGCAAAGAGTAGAAGAGAAGTCATTGATGATGTGATTCAGAGACTTACAAAGCTAGTGGGCAGTGGCAAGACATCACGTCGTCTACTCGACATGGAGATGATCTACCTAACAGACTGTGGAGGCCAGCAAGCCTACTGGGATCTTGCTCCAATCTTCATGCGTGACACCTCGGCCACACTCTTTGTCCACCGACTGTGTGAGAAACTTGATGAATATCCTCTCAATGATCTGTACCAGAGTGGGAAGAGAGTTGGCGATGAACAGAGAGCTAGACTCACCACTGCACAGGCCTTCAAGACAATGCTTCAAGGACTAGACAAAGAGGAAAATCGTTCAAAGATAATTGTTGTTGGAACTCACAAGGACTTACTTCATGA